CCGTGCCGGCGGTGGGGGGGAGCCTCGGGCCTGCCAGCCGCATGCACATGGGGAGAGGGGGGAGAGGCAGTCCTGCCCCACTGGAGCTCGGTTTCAATCAGGGCAAAGACAGAGCAGGAGGAAAGTCAGAGCCCTGATGAGGTCTCTTGCCCACGAGGATGTACTGGGGGGCCAGTGGCAGAGCAGGGACCCCATCCCAGCGTGGTCCTGCTTTGACTGCACCCAGGTTACCCGTCCCACTTCTCCCCACTGCTGCCATCACCCCTGCAGAGCTGGAAAGTCAAGGAGATGATATAAACGCAGCAGGAGTCTTCCCTGTTTATCCAAATGCTAGGTTAGGGAGTGATCTCTCTGCTTCATGCCTGTTATTGAGGCTTGACTGTGACAGGAGGCACTTGCAGAGGATGTGACAGATGGCTCTGCCTGTCCCTGCTCTGTCCGCTGCCCACCAAGGGACTGTGTACACCAGTCCCCTGTCATAAACCTAGGTCCCAGATAATCCTCCGAGCACAGGCACAGCCCTTCCTTGGTCCGTAGTCAGACGCGCTGCTCCGAGCTGTCGATGTCTCGCTCTTTGGCTAGCAGGTGTGTTCAGTGTAATAACTATACGGGTGGACTAATTTGGCTTGTTTTAGCTGAACCGGCAGACAAAGGATGGGATTTTCCTGAAGCACCTGAGGGATTCAGCTGCATTCATCCTTGTGCTGTGGCTGGTGCCTGTGAATCACTCACAGGATGACTTGATTGCAAGGTTTTAATCATGATGTAAATCACCGGCTTTCATCTCCTTTGCCTGTGCTCTTTGTGTTTGTGCTTTTAAAAGAATACTCGCCAGGGAAATGCTGGCTTTCCCTGGTTAGTAACCATTAGGAGGTATCTCCTTCCAGCTAAGTGTAGCCTGTGCACTAAATTTAGTACTTGTGTTTGCTGATCAGGATGTTACATGGAACATTTAAGTGGCTGTATGGCATATCATACATACAGTCAGACTTCATTTCTATGTTCTACTACATTAAAAAAAGATGATTGATTTTTTTTTTTTTGTGTGTGTGTGATATGTGTCCAGCTGCTTTTGGATGGAAATTTGAATTCAATTAAAATGCAGAAATCAGCGTTTTAAATAATGCTTTTATTAGTTAAACAAATCAATGTTAAATGTTCTGAATGCATGAGCAAGGAAAAAAAAAGCTGTTTTGCATCTGAAGTTAAATGATTTATTATGCAAAGGAAGTTATTATCTATCAGGAGGGAACTGAATGGATTGTTTGTGGTCATAATGGCCTTTAAGATTTTTAGAAGTGGTAGATCTCATCCTTGCCCACCTAGTTTTAAATCTGAGGTTGGAATGAAGAAGCGAACATTACAGCTTTTTTGCTTCCCAGTTGGTTTCTCAACTTTGAGTGACCTGAATTAAGCTGAAAGGAAGCAATATTGCCTGTACATCTGCAGAAAAGGTTATGGCTGCCAAAACCTGGTTTATCAGATCAGCAAATTCTGGTTGTAGGTGATTTTTTTTTTTTTTTTTTTTAAACCCCATTCAGAGGGATTACTTGATCTAAAATGTTGGAAGTAACACAAATAACTGCTGGAGTGTTCATTTTTAACCAGCTTAAACTATCTTAAGCTCATGTCTTAATATAGATTGTCATAATTTGAAGTTGTTTTGTAAACAGTTGCATTTAAAGAGCAGAAGTATGTTATTCAGTTTTCATTTCCGAAAGTGTTGTAACTGTTTTGCTGTTTACTCATGCCATGATCATTTACGTTCTCTTGAAAGCCCAGCACAAGACACTTGGCAGGAATGAAGCAAGGCTGTTAATTCTTTATGAAGAAAGCTGGTGGGGAGTGTCCTGGAGCTGCCCCCTAATGCCTTTTCTGCCTTCACTTTGGCACTTTTGCAGGGAGCAGATCAAGAGGGTCAAAGACTCAGATGATGTTCCCATGGTACTGGTAGGAAATAAATGTGACCTACCAGCCCGGACAGTGGAGACCCGGCAAGCACAGGACCTGGCCCGGAGTTACGGGATCCCCTACATAGAAACATCTGCCAAAACCAGACAGGTAGGAGGAGGGTTTTAAGCAAAATCTTCATTTTCTTCTCTTTTCTCCAGTGCTGTCCTGAGAGGCAGGAATGGGCATACACCACCTTGCAGACAGATGGGTGCAAGGGCCGGGGTTAATTGCTTCCTCAAAGCTAAATGCTCCATCAGAATGATCCCTCCACTGTCCAGGCTTGAGCTTCTGATCTGGAGAAGCACATAATTCATGTTCTGGCAGCAGTGAAGGGAAGATGACTTCTTGGGGCTTTCTCCAAGGCTCTGCAATAACCCCCATAGTCACTGCAGGTCACCTTAGCTCAGGGGACTTGTCTAACCTCATCCATGGTCTGTTTTGGCAGACCTACAGGCAGAATATACCAGGGCTGGAAGGATCATGTGGGGTTCCCAGAGCATAGAGATGGAGATGCAGCATCTGATGCCTTCAGTGGTCTAGTGGTGGCTTTTCTCTTGGGTGGTCGACCTCATTCAGGCTGCTGAAAGCTGATGAATCTCGAGGAATTAAGAGCTCCTTTGGCCTCGTGGTTGCTCATTCAATCTTGCTCTCTGTTCAGGGGCCATGCTAAGATCGTGGTTCGTCTTCCTAGCTTGGTTACATGCCTTTAACTCTGCAATCTGCACTGCTGGAAGACAGCGCTAGGGGTACCTAGCTGGGGAGCAGAGCCCTCTCTTCTCTCACTGTCCCCTCTCAAAGTGGGCTGCTACTTCAAGCGATGCTTTTCTTCCAGGGTGTTGAAGATGCCTTCTACACCTTGGTGCGGGAGATCCGTCAGCACAAGCTGCGCAAGCTGAACCCCCCAGATGAGAGCGGCCCCGGCTGCATGAACTGTAAATGTGTGATATCGTGACTATGGTGAGTTTTGGAAGCAGGAGATGGGGTGCAGCGGGGGTTGTATTGGAAGCAGAGCAGCAGGTGACTGCAGATGCACTCGTCTGCAAACAAATGCAGCAGAAACAATTTCAGCAATGGGTATTTTTTCATGAAACACCTTTTGACTGAAATAGCATTTTTCTGTCAAAACATAGGTAAGTCAAAATTCCCACTTTCCTGAGGAACTGTGTAGGAGGAAAGAGTTGTTTATTTTTTGCCTTCATTTTGTGGGGAAATAATTCTACAGAACTGAATAAAAAAAAAAATACGTGTTTTGTTGTGCTTTCCCTGGGAAAGCTCCTTCCCACACTGCCCCTCTGAAAGAGGAGTTAAGCTGGCGTTGAAAGTCTGCGGCTCATTGTGTGTTCACCAGACGGGTCCTAGAAGAGTTCAGGTGAAGAGCTGGATGAGTGCATTGCCTCCTAATGCTCTTGTGTAAACTGCCCCGTCCTAAAGCCTCAAAGCAGACCTGTTTCACTGTGAAAGTCCTGTGTTACTCAGAATAGTGTTCCGCATTAGAGACATCCCCTGGGTTATTTGGAACTGATGCAATGTTGAGAATTAGCCATAAGGGGGCTGTTTTGTTTTTATAAATGGTGTGTGCTGGAGCCAGTAACAGTGTTTTTTCAGATTGTTCATGTGCCTGTTTTTCTTCTTTTTCTTGTTGTTTTTTTTTTTTTTTTTATTTATGAGTTTATTTAAATCACTGCAATCCTGCTGGGTAGCAGTGAGGGAGAGCTCCTATTGGTGTCCCTGTGTGAGCTGGGTGGCCTTAAGCCAAACGCCTGGGAACATCTGGCTGTGTAACTAGCTCCTTCCATGGCAGAAGTGCAGAAAGAGAGGCAACTGGGAGTGAGTGCACCGGGGAGATCTACATCTAAGGACATCTGGGACTGAAGTGTAGGAGAAAAGCCTACACGAACATTGCCCTTAATGCCTCTTGGGGAGTCGTCCAAGCACCCGGACTAGCCCTTCACCCCTTTACGGAACTGCTGGAGTCCTAAAGAGAAGTACATTGTGTCCATAATTGGTGCTAAGAGGGTCTCGCTGTAGGTGGAGGTGGGCAGCTGGTTTTCCTCTGTCACTTTTTGAGCCAAAGGCCATGAACACAGCAGAGATCTTCCCGGGGGGGGGAAGGAAAAAACCTGAAATGCTGGCAGCATTTGCTTCCTATTTGCAAAAAAACACCCGAGCACCCCACCCCTCTGCTCCCAGCCGAGGTGCGTGAGTTCTACTGGGGGCTGAGCCCAGCACACTTATCATTGCTAAGGGAGGTTTTCCAGACGTTTGGGTCTTCCAGATGTTCAGGAGCATTTCCTCCGGATGAGGATGTGAGCTCGGGGCCCGCTTCCTGCCCTGGCTCCCAGCTGACGGCATGGGCTGGGCGAACGCGGCTGCATCCCTGCACTGACTGCCAGGAGCCAGTTATGAGCAGGGCCTTCAAAAAGAAGGGCAAGAAGGGGTGGAAAGGAGTCTTGGAAATATTCCCCTCTGTTAAGAGAGTGTGTGCTGTGAGTTGCCCACATCTTTTTCTGCTCAGGCAGAAACTGGACACCCAGATATCCCAGCTTTTTCTAGCTGCCGTGGCCAAGAGCAGAGAGGGAGGAACATCAGGGCACAAAAAGAGAAACAAGGCTGAGTTTTGGGGAGGAGAAGGGTGTGGGTGTGGCTGGGGAGCCAGGGAGATTTGACTGCCTTTGCTCTGGACTCACTTTGGTTCTTGTTATCCCTGGAGGAAGGATAAAGATCTTGCCAAACACTGTCCCTTGTCACAACAAGGTTTGGGCAGAGGCAGAAGGTCTGGCGAGCCTGAGGCTAACCCATCACTCTGCAGTCCATTTGCTTGTTCCCTTCAGCACGCGTGCAGATGCTTTGCTGAGCCAGGTGCAGACCTCCAAGACGTGTGTAGCCCTTTGCTTTCCCTCCGTGGGGACTAGCAGGGTCATCCCGCACTGTGAGGAGTGGGGAACGGGAACAGCCCCCATTGGTCCCGGCCATGAATGGGTGCTAATGAGTGTCCTTTTCTGGTTTCAGCTGACTGGACCATGTCTTGGAGAGGTTCCCACTGTGCAGAGCGCAAGGAAAGAGGTGAAGCGAAGGAAGAAGCAAACGGATTCAGGGGAGGAGTATAGGGGGAGGGGTAGAGGCAGAGGAGGAGGAAGAGGACGGGGGAGCATGAGCCCCTACAAGGACTGTCTCACACTTCACCCAAGCCTGCGGCACACGACTTTTTTCTTTTTTTTTTTTTTTTTTTCTTTTTTTTTTCTTTTCCCATCCCTTCCTCCTTTGGCCTCCTCCCACCCCGGCAACTGTACAAAGCCACAGATTGAATCACAGTAAATTATTATTTGATGGTCTCGACAAACCGTCTTGATGGCTGTGTTGTCCTTCCAGAGGGAGCTGCTGCTGGTGCTCTGGGAGGATTGCTGGTGGCACAGTGGGGAGGGAAGAGTGCTGAGATTTGCTCTCCATGAACCAAGGTCATGCTGTAGATCGTG